CGGGTGGATGGGTGGGTGGGTGGATGGGTGGGTGGGCAGGTGAATGGGTGGCCAGAGGGGAGGTGGGGGTAGGTGAGAGGGTGGGATAGTGTGTGAGTGGGCAGGTGAGGGGATAGATGGAGCTGGGTGGAAGCGTGGCTGGGTGGATAGACACATCGTACACGGGGGGATGGGCAGATAGATGGGTGGATGCACGAGTGGCTGGTGGGTAGTGGGTGGAAGCAGCTGCAGGCCCACTACTCTGCTGGACCGCCAGGCAGCCCCACCCTCCCCAAGTGGCCTCGCCGGCAGCCCAGCCGTTCCAGAAGCGATGTACTGCGTTCCACGGAAAGAAGAGGTGTGCAGGGCTCCCTGCAGCACGACGCTCCCTCTGCCCGCCCACCCCTCGCCGTCCTCTCTCCTCCCAAGCTGAGCGGCCTGTGCTCCTCACCTTTCTATACCCTTCCCCCATCCACAGCCGCAAACACGTCAGCCCTCTCCCTAACACAGGGCCAGTGGGAGAACTGAGTTAGGGCTTACACGCACGCACACACATGCATGCACGTGTACAAGCAATCCGTACACACAGGCGCATATAAACACAGGTGTCTGCACATACACAAATGCACGCATATACACACACATGCACGCACACTTCAGCCAGGCTCCCCTGCCGACCACTGAGTGCTGCTCTCACACCCTTGTCCTTGGCTGCGGAGCCGTTCTCTCCCGGAGCAGAAGGATTACCTAGAGGGCCGAAGAGCCACCAGGGACGCTAGGGAACCCATCAGGAAGCAATGCTGAGCGGCGCGGGAGCAGCGGGGCTGCTGCTCTCCCTCCTGTCTCCATCGGCAGTGCTGCCTCCACCTGGCCTGCTCCCCAGCCCCCGCCTGGCTGACCCCGGGCAACTGTGGGGCACGCGTGCAGCGCTCTGGCTCCAGGTCCAGCCGCCAGCACAGCAGAGGCACAAGGGCGAGCGAAGACACTTAGACGGGACAGAATGAGAAGAGAACATGCTTCACTGCGGACAACTAATGCCACTAAGAAGGGTGGTGATTTTCCAGGGCCCTGCTGGAATACAAGTTCCACTTTTCAAATTACCACCTAGCAGATCAATCCCCAGCCTGGCTGTTTTCCTGCAGGGCCGTTCTGCAGGCCACCCATGCCAGGCAGGGAGTGGGGGCAGGAAAGCGCATGCAGGCCCGGTGGGTACCAGCTCTCTGAGGGCCAGAACGGAAGGCTCCTCTGGTGTCTGTGCTAGGCCTCCAGTGGGGACGCAGAGGCTCCGTGCGAGTCCAGAGGCCGGCTGCCCGGCTCGTGAGGAGAGCAGTCACTGCTGGCCAGAGGCCTGAGCAGAACAGAAGCCAAGCAGCAAGGAGCCCCGCCCACTGCGACTGCCTGCGGGGCAGGGCATGTGGGCTTCTCCTGCCTTTGGACCTGGGCTGTGGCCGAACTTGCGTCCCCTGGCTCACTCTCCTCCATCTCTGGGAGGTGGGGGAGGGAACACGGGAGAGGAGAGGGAGCGAGAATGAGAGACAGACAGAGACAGGGAGGTGCAGCAGGTACAGCAGCGATTACACGGAGAGACGGAGAGCTGACAGGACGACAAGGACAGATGTAGACAGAGACGCAACACCGACACACCCGGACACAGTCGGCGACACGGTTGCCTTCGTACTGGTTCTGTTTCTCTGCAGAGCCCAGACTTCCAGAAAGGACCTGGGCCCTTACAGCACCCTGGTGCTTGCCCACCCCAGAGGACCGAGTTCGGGCACAGCCTGCAGGTGCCAGCGTGTGGCCCTCGGTGGCGTCTCCACATGGGTCCTGGCACCACTGTGGCCACACTGGTTTTCCTGCCGGGTCACCCAGGTCAAGTCAAGGGCTGGGCTGCAACTTGAACTCTGTTCACAGGAGCAGCTGGATCTTCTGACGCTGTACCCGTGAGTGGCAGGGACTGAGAGGCCCCCTCTCCTACACAAAGCCCATCTGCCCCCGTCAGAGCAGGGTCCCCGTGCTCTGGCCTGGTTATTTTCCAGCCCGCAGGAGCCTCCCAGACCTTTCACCGTGAGCAGCATAAGCAGTGTGCACAGAATCATGGAGACGACAGAGGTGTGGAAAGCAATCTTGGGGCTATTAGAACTGAGACATCCTATTCTGGGAAAGAAGAGTGTATCAAACGTCGCCAAATCAATGTGGAGCGATGGCTGGGCTTCCATCCCTCTGTAAACCGCTCCATGAATCTCCAGGGGCAGAGACAGGATACAGACACAGCAATCAATTCCTTGCGCATTTACTCAGTGAGCGTCCCGGGGCCGGCAGGCAGGGGCGGCACCGCAGTGCTGAGCAGACAGCTTTGCAAATACTCAGTAGAACGAGATGGGCCTGTGCCCCCAAGCACACACCGCGGGCCGACCTGCAGGCCTGATGCGCCGTCAAGGTCGTCCAGTCTGACCCCTGTGGCCACCGGACGGGCCCAGCCGTCCCAACTGCTAGCTGGCATGAGCACTCTGTCTCCACTTAGCCTTTTCCGGTCCTGCTCAGGCTGTGGCATCATGATCTTCCTAGTGCCATGTAATTTTCAGACAAAGAACATTTACAATACATTTGAGTCCCTGCATCTATGAAGGCAGGGCACAGCAGCCAGGCACCAACCTGGGATGGCTCAGGGCTCCCTACGGGATGATCCTCAGGCTCCAGGCCCCACCACAATGAGCTAGCACCCATGGATGTCACCACCAGAGACGCTATGGCGAGGTGTCTCACAGCAAGGCCCGTGGCGAGGCTCTCAGCGCAGTTCTGATGGAGGGAGATGTTCCGGGGAGGCTGAGACCAAGCCCTGGATGTCAGGAGCAGGAAATACTTGGTCCGGGAGCCCAGTGTGCTGCCCCAGCACTGGAAGACCAAGGGGCAGGGTGGCCAGCTGGGGACTCTCCTAAGGGGCAGGGTGGCCAGCTGGGGACTCTCCTGACTGCCCAATGCCAGCAATGCAGGTGAAACTTCAGACCACCCCACTAGGAAAACATCTCTGCCTCCACCAGCTCTTGCTCCAGGGGTAGAGCCCAGGCTCCATTCAAGACAAATCTGCACAACACCTTCCCCAGGTTAAAGACCCTGCAGATGCCACCCAGGGCTTGCTCAGAAGAAGCTGGGAGACTCCAGCCAAAGGAGCCAGGGCATCAAGAGTCTGTGGCCTCGGATCTCCCCTCACTCACCTTCTTGCCTTGCCCACCTTCCATTTCCCCCCTCAGAAACCCCTCACCGAACAAACTAGACTCGCTTTTCTAAATGAACATGTGTACTAACAACCTGTCCTATTGTCCAGGGTAAGATGACCACCCCAAAATTATTTACAATATTATCTCTAACAAGCTGCCCACTACGGTAAGAGAGGCAATGTTATGGAGTTCACATCAGGTGGACCTAAGCACAGAGCAGCAAGCGCAATGCCAACACTGAAAAGTAAGATGCTGGCCACGCCCATGACTCAGTCACACAGAGCACCTGGCACCAGGATCTCCAGGCCCCAGCCTGGCAGCTGACTGTGC